AAAAAAAAAAAAAAAAAAAAAAAAAAAAAAAAAAATCAAACCAAACCAAACAAAAAACCAGCAAAAAACAAAATGTAGCCCAGACCAAAAATAAACAAGGAAAGGAGGAAGGTAGGTATGTTTTTTTTTTTTTTTTTTTCTCAAAGCAAGACCAAGATCCTGTCTTTACTGGATTCACAGAGAGGTAGGCATTTATCTGAGAGGCTCTTCAGTGACTCAGCTGGCCTTGAATTCAACTTGTAGTCAAGGACGTCCTGGAGCTGATTCTCCTGCCTCCACCACTGGCGTGATTATCGACACTCAACTGACTAGAACTCTTTTGGTTGGCAGGATGTAAACAGTGTTTGGTGGAAAGCATCACCTCAGCTCCCTAACGTGTCTAGATTTAGCTTACATGTCTAGTTGAAATATAACAGGTAATGATACCCAATTAACAACTGCCTTACAGAGCTGAGAGAATGGCATTTAACAAAAGAGCTTCTAACACAGAGACATGCCAGCTCCTGCAGCATCCTATAGCTCCTCCACGAAGATAGGTGTTTGCAGAAGACCTGCCTTGAGGCTCGCCTTTGGATATGGCAAAGTCACCTGCACAGCAAAAAGTGGCCTCCACCTCATCAGCTTCCTGGATGCCATCTGGGGAATTGATCATATCATCCTGCCAAGACAGGTAGACTAAATCTTCCCCCCAGGAAAATCTTCGGGCCTCTTGTACTCAGCAGCAAATGGCAAGCCGTGTTTCTAAGGCTGGTGTTCTCCAGGGGCTAAGGAGAGACTTGGGATTGCCTGCATTGCTAAAAAAGCTGTCTCATGTCTGCTCATTTATCCCCTTAGATCTTTCTACTGGCATTTGATGATTTAAGGTACTGGTAGCAGCTCATTACTTCATTTGTTAAGTTTCCTACTAAAATACAGACAGGTGTGCCTCTTTAACAGGCCTCATAGTCCAGAACTAACAGGTTTCAGGGTATCTTCAGAGGCTCAAGAGTTTCTAATTTCTTTTGTCTTCTAAAATGTTCATACTCCAAGATGTAAATCTGTTCTAGTTGTCTTACAGATACCTACAGGTTCCTGGGGGAAGGTTCTGCTGCTATATCAAAAACCAGGTCTGGAGGCCGGGCGGATGGTGGCGCACGCCTTTAATCCCAGCACTCGGGAGGCAGAGGCAGGCGGATCTTTGTGAGTTCGAGACCAGCCTGGTCTACAGAGCTAGTGCCAGGACAGGCTCCAAAGCGTATTTTAACCCCACCTATTTTTAAACATATTTTACAGGTCACTCCTGCTGTCTGGGCCAAGACCAGTTTACAAAGTGCTCTCCAGACAACGCCAACACCTGCACCAGCTCCTGGGCCCTTACTGTTGCCACCTGCCTTCTCATCTCCCTCAGGAAACAGCTGCCTGAGGTCTCCAGGATGGCAGTAAACCGGATGCCGCTCCAGTCACACCTCTCGCTGAGTGTGAGCCCACCAACTTTCAGCTCTCCCCTCTCCCACATCACCCCATGCCTGCAGGAAGCGACCAGACTTGAGCTGGCGCCCCTTTATCCAAGAAGTCTAAAATGTTTGGTTGAGGGGCTTCACCTCAGCTCGCTGGCACCTCTTCATCCAAAAAGTCTGTAATGTTTGGTCAAAAGTGTCACCTCAGCTCCCTAAATCCCCTTTTATACAAAGAGTGTGGATTGTTTGCCTGGGGGCTTCACCCCAGCTTCTGGAATAAGCTCCCTCCCCTAGTCCAAACTCCACCTCCAAGAAAGCCTACCAAATGGTGACCCCTTCCCAGGGAGGGTCAAGAAAGCTCACCAATGGTGACCCCGCCCCAGGGAAGGTTGGGACCACTCCCACATGCTATTTAAACTGCCTCCCAGAGAATGAACACATGGTCTCCCCTTATCTCTGTTTTCCAGGGCCTCCCAGGAATACTCCATTAAACATGGGCATCTTTAATTCTGTTTGATTCTGTCTGATTGGGATTATTTGCGCCAGCGGAGAGGCTCGTCTAAGAGAAAATACCTAACAGCTTGGCTGCTTCAGGGACCGGCTCTGCAGTTTCCTGACATTAAGGTGTATTTACTACACGAGGCTCTTCTCCCTAAACCTTGCTCACTAACAAAGGGAAATGTGTGGATGTTCATAGCATCATTCATTATCCTAAGTGGAGAAGCCGGTGTGGTGGTGCAAGCCTGTAATCCCAGCACTTGGGAGGCAGAGGTAGAAGGACTGAATGCTGGCCTGGTCTATCTGGGGCATTCAAGGGCAGTCAGAGCTATAATACAGGAAGATCCTGTCTCAAGGGGGGGGGGGAGGAAATAGGAAAACAAAGTGATTGTCTTTGGGTTTCTGTTGCTGCAGTGAAACACCATGACCAAAGAGCAAGTTGTGTAGGAAAGGATCTATTTGGTTTACACTTCATATCATTGTCCATCACCAAAGAAAGTCAGGACAGGAACTCAAAACAGGAGGCAGGAGCTGATAGGCCATGGAGAAGTGGGGCTAACTGGCTTGCTCAGCCTGCTTTCTTCTGTAACCCAGGACAACCAGCCCAGGGGTGGCACCAATAATTAAGAAAATGTCCCACAGAATCTTATAGGTTCCCTCCTCTCTGATGAGTCTGGCTTGTGTCAAGCTGACAAAAACTTAATACAGTAGTAAGTATACTCCTGGCATTTGGGAGGCTGAGGCAGGGGGATGACATGGTGGTATTCAGTCTTTAATCTGAGTACTCAGGAGGCAGAGACAGGGAGAGTTTTATAAGAGGCCAGGTTAGTGTCCATATTGAGTTTCAGGCCAGCCAGAGCAATATAGCAAGATCTTGCCTCAAGAAACAACAACCACCAAAAAATAGAGGGCTGGGGAGATGGCTCAGTGGATGAAATGCTTGCTTTCTAAGCAAAGTGGACCAGAGTTCAGAAGTTTGGATCCTCAGAACCACCTGGCTTGCTAGACTGGCTCCGTCAGTCAAATCAGTGGCTCCCTTTCAGCGAGAGATCCTGCCTCAAGGATCAAGTGAAGAGTGATCAAGGTTGATACCCAATGTCAACCTCTGATTTCCACATTCACACACAGGTGTGCATCCATACACAGTTGAATGTACAGACAAACACATACACCCAAAATGAGAGAGAGGAGAGGGGGAGAGAGGGGGAAGAGAGAGAGAGCAAGCAACACAGGCGAACCTTTACGTGGTGTTGAGAGCACAGGAGGAACAGAGCTCCAGAGAAAACAAGAATGCTAAGCAGGCAGGGCTATCTTTTCAATGGGAAAGAGGTAAAACCTGTTCTCCATCCAGAAATCTGGGAATTGGAAGTAATTATAGCCTGGTGATCTGTGTTCTCTGTTGGGCCAGGCCATATCAATCTCCTCCAGCCAGGCCTGGAAGTGGCTAGTAATCTTTAAATGACCCTTACAGCCATGGGCTCCCCAAGCTCCCACAACCAGGACCAGAAATACCCAGTAGTCTAAGTGACCTTTACATTATCTGTATAGCCAGGGACTCTCCCAAGCTCCCACACCCAGGACCAGAAGTGGCTAATAGCCCAAATGACCTCTACCCTACCTGTATGACAGAAACCAGACAGACCTACCTTAGGGCCTTACTCGAGTACAGGTAGCCTATCTCTAGAACCCATCTTCTCGGAAGAAATGACATGTACCCTGAGTCGAGTTTCAATGTAATTAATTGTCCTTTCTTCTGCACTGGTGGCTGTGCCCAAATGACCTCTACCCTACCTGTATAACAGAAACTAGGCAGACCTAGCTTAGGACCTTAAGCGAGTACAGGTAACCTATCTCTAGAACCCATCTTCTCGGAAGAAATGACATGTACCCCGAGTCGAGTTTCAGTGTAATTGTTCTTTCTTTTGCACTGGGGATTGTATTACACCAGGAAACTTTTCCCAAATTATACTGTGTTTAAATTTCTTGGGAATGAACTGCCTGGCATCAGACTCTCGAGAAGGTTTGATCCAGGTTAACAAAGTCAATCTGAAGTGACTTTTCATTCTCCCCTTGAAGTTTGTTTCCCTGCACGACACCTGTAGGGTCCCACTCAGTATAGGACCCAGCAATGCCATTCCTGGGCATTCCAGGTCAGCATGTCACAGAAAAATTGCGTTACCAGTTTTTAGCGTAGCCTGTCACAAGAGCTATGGGACCATGCTCAGACTGGGGTTGCCGCAAAGAGGAACCTCTGTTGAGGAGTGGCTGCTGTCAGAGTGAGCTGTGGCAATGTCTGTAGGGAATTTTCTGGTTGTTAATTGATGCAGGAGGATTCAGCCCACTGTGCGTGGTGCTGTCCTTGGGCAGGCGGTCCTGGGTTGTGTAAGGCAGCAAGCTGGGACTGGAGAGATGGCTCAGCCAGTTAGAGCATTTGCTGCTCTTGCAGAGGACCTGGCTTCAGTTCCCAGCATCCACATAGTGGCTCACTACCATCTATAACCCCAGTTTCAGGGGCTCCAATGTCCCCTTCCGGCTTTTCAGGCACCAGATGAACATATGGTGCGTATACATACATGTAGGCAAAGCACTCATACATATAAAATCATCTTTCTGTTGGTTTGCTTTTTTTAAAATATTTATTTATTTATTATGTATACAATATTCTGTATTCCTGCTGGCCAGAAGAGGGCACCAGACCCCCATTACAGATGGTTGTGAGCCACCATGTGGTTGCTGGGAATTGAACTCAGGACCTTTGGAAGAACAGGTAATGCTCTTAACCTCTGAGCCATCTCTCCAGCCCCCCCCCCTTTTTTTTTTTGAGACAGGGTTTCTCTGTGTAGCCCTGGTTGTCCTCGAACTCGCTCTGCAAAACAGGTTGGCCTCAAACTCACAGAAATCCACCTGCCTCTGCCTCCACTAGTGCTGGGATTAAAGGTGTGCCCCCCTAAATAGAAATAATCTTAAAAAAAAAAGACAGCTAAGGGATTGGGGATTTAGAGCTGTGGTAGAACGCTTGTCCAGCAAGGATGAGGCCTTGAGTTTAGTCCTCAGCTCAAGGAGCAGATGTGCAAAAGCAGACTGAGCAGGCGTGGAGAACAAACCAGGAAGCAGGGCTCTTCCATCGCTCCTGCTTTGGCTTCCCTCATAACGGAATATAACCCATAAGCCAAATAAACCCTTTTCTCCCCAAATTGTTTTGGCTATGCCATTTATCATGACAAAAAAAGTAAACCAGTTGGGACTGGAGAGGTGGCTCAGCGGTTGAGAGCACTGGCTGCTCTTCCAGAGGTACTGAGTTCAGTTCCTAGCACCCACATGGTGGCTCACAACCATCTGTAATGAGATCCAATGCTCTCTTCTGGCGAGCAGGCATACATGCAGGTAGATCATTCTATAATAAATAAATAAATCTTAAAAAAAAAAAAAAAGTAAACCAGGAAAGGAACAAGGCTGGGTGTCTGTCAACAGAGGACTAGACAAAGAAGTGTGCAGCTCACGACAGATTTTGGTTTTAGCCATAAAGAAATTATGTTGTTTGCAGGAAAATGGATGCAACTGAAGATACTGGACGAAGAGACAAATATCGTATGTTTTCTCTTACTTATGTGGAGGGCAAACCTCTAATCCTTGCACTTGAGAAGCAGAGGAAGTAAGCTAAAAGTCAGTTTGGTCTAGACTGTGTACAGTTACATGAAATCATGCCGTGTATGTGATGTTAGAGATGGCTAATGAATGGGGGAAAGGGAGAAAGAAAGTGGAATTGAAGCCAGGCAGTGGTGGCATATGCGTTTGATTCCAGCACTCGGGAGGCAGAGGCAGGCAGATCTCTGTGAGTTTGAGCCAGCCTGGTCTACAGAGTGAGTTCCAGGACAGCCAGGGCTACACAGAGAAACCCTGTCTCAACTGCCTCTAAGAACAAAGGGGCTTACGGGAAGGATTCCAGGAGAGCCAAGGGAACTGGCAGATGTGCTCAATGCACTATACTTGTATTGAAAAATTAAAAACCCTGGGGATCTGGGAAGATGACTCATTTGGTAAAGTTCTGCCCTTGAAAGTATAAGTTTGATCCCTAGAATATGTCTGTAATCCAGGCATTTGCAAGGCAGGGACAGGTAGATTCCTGAGGCTCACCAGCTACCCAGCCCAACCTAAATGTTAAGCTAGAGAGGGAACCTGTGGCAAAAAGAAAAAGAAAAGAAAGAAAAGGCCAGCACCTGAGGAAGGTTGGCACTGGAGGCTGTCCTCCGGCCCCCACATCCCTGTGCACACTGGACTGTGACGGTTGCACAATGTGAAGTTGCTGAAAGCACTGGTGTGCACGTCTGAGACACAAATACACAGACGTGTTTGAAACAAGTGAGTTTCAGTGCAAGTCAGCTCCTTCAAACAGCAATTAACAAAGCTTTTAAAAGTTTTTCCAGCTAGGGTTGAGCCCTCTGGTCTTAGAATTCAAGTGTCCAGGAACCCTTCAGCTATGATCGCTCAGCAGGAGGCCTCCTCTCCTGCCTCTCTAGCACGTAGTTTTTCGTGATCTCAGAGTTTTAGGAGTTGCTAGCTGTCACTGGGGCTCCCCTTTTGGAGAAGTGTGGTGTTTAAATCTGCAGACTCAGTCCTTCTGGGTGTAAACATGTTGGCTTCTGGCCGAAGTAGAAAAATGGGCATTGTCAGGGATATAGTGGCGGGTGGAGGACTGCCACTAGTGTCTTCCAAGTACGGGGAGGTGTTAGTAGGCCACAGCATTTCAAACCCAGGCCCTGGTAAGGCCTGCCCCTCTCCCATTCTCTTGTGCTATAACTGGCCTGTGCTCTAAGCTCACCAAGCCCCGCCATACCTTCCAGTCCTGGTACAGGCTGTCCTCTTTCCTTGGCTACCTGGAAACTTCTCCATTGTCATCTCCTTTCAAGGTTCCTTGGCACACTCACTGGCCTGGTATCCTCTTGCAGCCTTATCTCCCTACACAGAGGGATTGTTTATGTGCCTGCTTCCCCCATGGCTCTGTGGGGGCTCCCTGAACACAAAGCCTGTCTTATTTATTGCTTGTTCCCAAGGCCCTAGTACAAGTTCAACACATATCCTGCCTAGTCAAATGGAGAAACGACGGGGCCCTCCCACCACATCACTCAGGGCCAGGAAGACACATGGAGACACCCCTTTCCCTAGTCTATTCTGGGCTAAAAGGGCTTCTCTTATGTGATCCCAGAATGGCCAGAGAGCCACTCCCTTTAGAAACCTCACTCCAGGGCAGAAGAAGCCTGCCCTCTACTTGCTTTGGAAACTGCCTCAGTGTAATTGAAACCACAAAACAGGGTCCCAGAGCGCTGCAGCCAGAGTTGGATCCTGCTGGAGCCTCCCTCCCGCCATTGCTGGGACCTAGGAGGCAGGATGAAATCTTGTTCCTCTCAGGGGCTCTTACTGCAGTGACAGAGAACAAGGTTAAAATGCATGGGAACGTGAGCAAGTATGGCTTTTTTCATACAAGCTATTTTTTAATTTATTCTCTTATATATGTGTGGGCCCATGTATAGAGGTCAGACAACTCTGTCCAGTCAGCTCTCTCCTGCCACCATTTCCATGGGTTCTGGGAATTGAACTCAGTTCCTCAGACTTGTGTAACAGCATTTTTACCTGCGGAGCTGTCTCCCCTGCTGTGTGTGTGTAAAAACAACCTGGCTAACATTCTAAGTTCCAGGACAGCCAGGGGCTATGTCCTCTATGAAAGGGGCTAGTTCAGCAGTTAAAATCACTTGTTCTTCCAGGGGGCCCAGGTTTGAGGCCCTGTACTCCAGTTCCTCTCCTGGTCACCTGCTGGGATTACAGATGTCACTTTTTATTTTTATAATGTCTCACTGTGGCCCTGGCCAGGCTGGAACTCAGATCTGCCTGCCACTGCCTCCAAATGCTAGGATTAAAGGTGCCACCTCCCTGGGCTCTAGCAGGTTTTCTCTCTGTGCCACCAACCAGCTCCCAAATTGTGACATGGAGCTTTATTAGTTATGAATGCTCAGCCTTAGTTTATGCTTGTCCTACTAGCTCTTATAACTTATTTTAACCTGTTTCTCTATGTTTTGCTTCGGGGCTTTTCACTGTTCACTGTTTGTCCTACTTTTCCTGTTTCGTCCATGTATGGCTAGCTGTTGGCTGCCTATCCCGAGTCTCCCTCATCCTCTCCTCTTGAACCTAGATTCCTCTTCCTACTTATTCTCTCTGTTCACCAGTACCACCTATCCCTCCTCTGCCTATTGACTCTCCAGCTTTTTATTAATCAGGTACTTTGGGCAGGCAAGGCAAAACAACACTTCTTTACATAAACAACTGCAACACAACTTACATAGTTAAACATTCCACACCAGGCCTTTCATACAGGCTTTTTTAAAAAACAAAAACATGCGGGGCTGGAGAGATGGCTCATTGGTTAGAGCACTGGCTGCTCTTGCAGTGGACCTGGGTTCAACTCCCAGTACCCACATGGCAGCTCACAACTGTCTAACTCCAGTTCCAGGGGATCTGACACCCTCATACAGATGTATATGCAGGCAAAACACCCAATAGACATACAACAAAAATAAACAAATCATTAAAAAATTTAAAAAACATGAATTTGTGTTTTGCCTGCATGTATGATCTGTATGTAGGTACAGGATTCCCCCAGAAAGGGAGTTACAGTTGTGAGTTGCCATGTGGATGCTAGCAATTGAACCCTGGTCCTCCGCAAGAGCAGCCAATGCTCTTAACTGATGAGCTATCACTCAAACCCCAGGTTTTTTGTTTTGTTTTTCCTTTTTCAGGACAGGGTTTCTCTGTGCAAACCCAACTGTCCTGGAACTCACTCTGCAGACCAGTCTGACCTTGAACTGAGAGAGATCTGCTTGCCTTTGCTTTCTAAATGCTGGGATTAAAGGTATGCACCACCACTGCCTATGCTAACCTGTTTAACTTTTTTTTTTTGCGTGTTTTGTTTTCATGTATGTTTATGCACCACATGTGTGCCTAATGCCCATGGTGGCCAGAAGAGGTGTTAAATAATCCCCTGAACCAGTTACAGGTGTCTGTAAGCTGCTGTTGTGATACTGGGAATCCAACCTGGGTCTTCTGGAAGAACAGCAAGTGATATTAACTGCAAAACCAGCACCTTTCATACAGATGTTTTGTTTTGTAAGACAGGGTCTTGCTACATCGTCCTTGGCTGTCATGGAATTATGTAAACCAGGTTGGCCTCAAACTCATCCACTTATTACTCTCCCAAGTGACAGGATTAAAGGTATGTGTCACAACACCTGGCTTATAAGGTTTTTAAAGCTGGTTTTAGGGGTTTGATCCATCTCACTGGTCTTGAGACAAGGTCTCTTGTAGCCCTGGCTGGTCTTGAAATTGCTCTGGGGCCAAGACTGACCTTGAACTCCTGATCCTCCTCCTATACTTACTGAGTTCACAGGCGTGATCTTTGCTATTTATCAACAAAATGGACTTTTTGAAAGATTAAATTTTGTGTGTGGACTGCAGAAGCCAGGGGAGTGCATCAGATCCCTGGGAGTTGGAGGTACAGGTGTTTGTGAACAACCAGACCTGGGTGCTAGGAACTAACTCAGATCCTCTAGAAAAGCAACCATTTCTTCTGCCCCAAGTCTCAGTGGTTGAGGGTGTACTTCAGTGTTTCTCCCAGGAGTATGGGTCCCTAGGTTTGATCCCCAGCATCTTGGCGGGGGGGGGGGGGTTATAGTCACAGAACATTAAAAAAAAAACTACAGGGTCTTAGCACACAGCTCATGTTTTTCTTGGTTTTCCCAAGGGAACCACTTCCACATTTCCCCAGAAGCCAGAACCTGTAATAGAAGAGGGATGCCTAAAGGAGTCACTAAGCTTTTCACACTGTGTGGCCTGTCTTATGGTCACCAAACAAGTACTGTCAGCAGTGCTGGGTATGGAGGCAGATAGGGAGCAAGGGTCAGCATCCTGTGGGAGTCTAATGAGCTCCTGCTAAATCCCTCTCCTGAGAAAGATGCATACAATGGTCACCCCAATCCCAATGTCCCAGCAGCACCCAGACTCCACCAAAGATCCCTACCCCCTCAGGTGTGTGTGGGGGGGACAGCAATGCATTTATTAGGTATACCTACAGAAGAACAGGTCTAAAATTAGAGGTGATCTTAAAGTGGAAGCTCTGCACCAAGAAATGATGGCTCCCCAATGGCTGCATAGGTGGAACCCCTTCCTCATTCTTCCCCATCGATATCCTCTAGCCCCTCCCCCTAAGACCTCATGCAATCAGTGCAGAATTGCAATGGCAGCTGCCTGGATACTCACTCAGGTGAGAGTCCCAGGCTTCTCCCCACCAGTTTCCATGAGGGAAGCAGTTTGCAGGCTCAAACTGTGAAGCAAATTCCTTAAGATGCTGGCCAGGGGGTGGTGCACACCTTTAATCCCAGCACTCAGAAGGCAGAGGATCTTTGGGAGATCTAGGCCAGCCTGGTCTGAGGAGCTAGTTCTAGGACAGTCAGGGCTGTGACACAGAGAAACCCTAAAAAAAGACCCCCCCCCCAAAAAAAGCTCCTGAAGATGGAAGCAATTTGGCTAGACAGTCCTGTACCACACAGGTGAAGAGTGGATACATACCTAGTAAGCATAGAACATTCTGAGACCACAGAAGAGGATGAACTGGAGGTAGAGGGGGGAGAGAATTCAGGGAGGCTACCTGGTGCTCAGCCACATGTGGGGGAAGAAATTGACAGTACTCAGGATACACAGAATGGGGGGCAGATGGACAAGACACAAGGTTGCTTCTATAGCTCAAGCTGGCCTTAAAATGGCTAATGTTGAGGCAGCACAGCTGTGCAAGGACTGTTAGAAAAGTCGAAGAGCATCACCGGTGCTATCTTCTACTTGGTGAGTTGGAAACTGGCCTGGGTGTGGCCAACCCATTGTCCACTTTATGCAATGACTGTTTCTGTACGCATGCTTATTCTTCAGATGACATCCAGCTACTTCCTCATTCAGCTTTCCTAGTATCTGGATCGACAGGTAAGGACCACCATGGCCAGCTCTTGTGTGCTACTCTGGTTTTGCTTGTTTTGTATAGGGATATAAACTAGGCTGACCTAGGAGTCAGAATCCCCACATCAGCTTTTCCAGTGCTAGAGTAGTGTTGGGGGTTCAGGTGTTTACTCTTGACTCCATCTACTTTTTGTTTGAGACAGGACCTCAGTACGCACCTCTGACTGCACTGGAACTTGCCAGGGAGACCGGAGTGTTGGGATTAAAAGGAGCCGAGCCCCACCGCCATCACAAATATATATATTTTACTGGGACTGGGTGAGGGACATGGAAAATTCGCTATTATTGAGCTACACACCACAACAAAACCCTTTTTAAAATTTTTCTTTTTGAGGCAAAATTTCACTCTTGTAGTCCTGCTGACTTCAAACTAGTGGTGATCCTTCTGTCTGTCTCCTAAATGCTGGGATTAGAGGTGTGAGCCAAAGGCCCAGCTGCTAGCACTTATGCTTGGATAAAGTCTCATGTAGCGCAGCTTTGAACCTGCAATGTAGCCAGAGATGACTCCACCTCCCCAAGTGCTGGCAGTGCATATCACCTTAAAAAAAAAAGAAAAAGGTGACTGGTGAGGCATGGTGATGCGTGTCTTAATCCCAGCATTCAGGAGGCAGACGGATTTTGAGGCTATTCTGGTCTACACAGTGAGACCCTGCCTCAAAAGGAAAAAAAAAAACCCTTTCTTACTAGCTTATACTGTTGGTCGCCATTTTTCCTGACCTCCTAACATCCCACTTCAGAACTAGAGGCAGCCAGCGTCATCAGTCATGGATTTCAGAGGACGACCAGCTCGGGCATCTGCTGCGCAGGTCGAGCAGCAGGTGGCAAACTTGTCCTCCTTTCAAGTTACCTTGACTGGGCGATAGCGTCCTAGGGAGGCCACAAGTGGGTGGAGCTAGCAGCCTAATTCCGGCCAGGGGCCGGGTAAGGGTTCCTAGCAATCGCGTGCCCGGCTAAACTAAACCGTGGAGCCTTCACAACTACAGCGTAACCGTTCCATTGCTCCTTAGACTGCTAGGTTACTCAAGAGCAACTTGTGAACAGGTTGCTAACGGGAGAAGGTTCGTTTTGCACACCATCTGGCCTCTGAGCAAACAGAGAAAACACCGCAGGACCCCTCGGGGGACAGAGGCCCCGAGGAGGCTGGGACCCAGGTGCCGGCAGGGCCGACGTCACCACTCCGCCTCTGCAACTGAGCCCGAGCCCCCAGAAGATTCCAAACGAGAGTCCAAGTAGATCCTCGGTCCCTCCGAGTGTGATCTGCAGGGAAACTGAGGCAGGGCGTGCGTATGGATTCATTCCTTTCCGCCTACATCCCAAGAAAAGCAAAGCTGTCTCCCCCCCACCTTCGGACCATACGGGACAACAGGGAAGATGGGGAGGGGGTCGAAAGCAATCAAGGTCCGGGGAACCGGCCGACATTGCCACACTCAAGATGGCGGCGCGGCCCCGGCGAGGTCCCTCAGAGGCGGTACCGACGCATGCGCAGCGCGGAGTCCCGGCCCGGGACACAAGATGGCGGCAGCGGCGCTGGGGAGGGCGAGGCGGAGGCGGCAAAACGGGCGGTCGAGCAGAACGTGTAGCCGCATCCCCTTGAGTCCATTTCGGGCAGGTAAGAGCCCCAGGAAGCCATGGTCCCGCCGCGAGCCGCGCCATGGTCCGGGAGTCCGAAGCAGGACAGCGGAGGTCCCCCCGGCGCTTCCCGCTCGGGGTTGCCGCTCGGCCGGTCTCTATCGTCGCCGCCATCTTAGAGCCGCGGGTGGGCAGCAGGGCCGCTGGCTGGGGTGAGAGCAGTGGGCCCGGAGAGCGCGGACGGAGCGGCCTCGAGGGTCCCTCCGCTGCTGCCGCTGCCGCCGTCGCCACCGCCTTTGTGTCGGGCTCCGACTCTGAGTCGCCTCAGCCCGGGGGCGGGAGCGCGCGGCAGGGCGGGGGGCGGAGCCCGGAGATGGGCCGGCGCGCGCGCGCCAAACACCCCGCCCCCGCTGAGCTGTGGGGGAGGGATGCGCGGGAGCGCGCTGAGGCAGGCCCTGCGTGCGCGTATGCGCATTGCGCAGGGCCCGTGGCTCCGCCCGCTGGAGCCGGAGCATTCTGATTGGTCCACTAGAAAGTGCTGCCCCACCTTCCTCCAATCCCGGAATCGAATACTTTGGCTCTCCCGGGTTCCGCTGGTGCACAGATGCAGTTGTTTGTGTGTAGACTGCGCTGCGCTTTTCCGACTTTGGTGTGCGTGGGAGTCCGGAAGGCAGCGGCTAAGGGAACCAGTAACCTATGGGTCAAGTGGTTTTGCCTTAGAAGTCGGGGTGACAGCCCGGCCTGGAACTTGGTGGGTCTGGTGCTTTGGGCGGGAGACCTTTTGCACCCATCTAAGCGGATTTATTTCGTTTCTTATTTTTAAGAGACAGGATCTCTCTTGTGTAGCTTTGGCTGTCTTGCAGCTCAAGTATATAGATCAGGCTGGCCTCGAGCTCACAGAAATCCTCCTGCCTTTGCCTCTCGAGTGCTGGGATTAAAGGCGTTTGCCTCCATACCCGGCTCGTTTAATTTTTAATTATTAGTGCGTGTGTGTGCGCGCGCGCCCCCGTTACTGTACTACGTAGTTTCACCATTAGCCCTTAGCAGATTCTAAGCTGATAAAACTTTCAAGCCTCGCAAAGTGAAAGAATTAGTCATCTTGTCTCCCAGTCCCACTTGTGGCGTGTTTAAAAATGACAGTCTTGTTGAGGGTTGATGGCACAGACCTGGAAATGTAGCACTTTTAAGAGACGGAGGCAGGCTAGGACGACCCAGGGCAGTAGGCCTGTAGTCTCAACCCTTGGAGATACCGGCAGGATGATTAGGCCTTTAAGGCCAGTCTCAGCTGTGTGAGACCCTGTCCTAAAGTTACCAATTGTTTGGTAGCTCCCTTCCCCATTTCTCACTCCTAACAGGTGTGGTGGGGTACAGCAATCTGCCCTAGATGAGTCTGGTAACAGCTGCTGTGGGAAGTGCTGCGGTGATCCCACTTGGGTGGCATCGGGCTGGGCTGCTTCTGCCTTCTCTAACAAATGCATCTACCAGGCGCATTCTGTCACATTTTCTGAGATAAACAGTTTTCAATAAAGGTGAATGAGATGTGCCATATGTGTTTGCATGGTTTTGTTTTTATAATGTTTTATAATGTTTTCAAAGTGTGTCTTTTACTAGTTGTGGGTGACTTGAGATAGTGCCCCAAATCTTCCGTATGCTTTGTTCCCTGTTCTATGGTCTACAGACACTTTGGTTGGCACAGCTGGCTGTGCAATATATGGGGCTTCAGTGTTGGAAATGAAAACCTGATTCCCCTTGGCATGTGTCTGTGTCCCACCTAATGGGAAGGCTGAAAGGGAAGGATGTTTTGAGCGCAGTGGTTGAAGGTCAGTCTGGGTAACAAAGCCAAATCCAGTTCAGAAGGAAAAACTGAGCGTGGTGGTCCTCGCCTAATCCTAGTACCTGGGAAGTCAAAGAGGCCGGACTGGGAGTTCAAGGTCATACTCAGCTACAAAAGGGAGTTTGAGTTCCCCTCTAACCCAAGAACAAAAGAAAAAAAAAAAGTCAGTTCCAGGATTGCAGGTGGAATTGCTCTTTGAAGTGCTCACTCAGCACCGCAGATCTGACTTTGGTTTCTTGGAAAGCAAGGTTTTTCCTTTTCCAGTCCTGGTTGTACGGGCTCTAATCTCAGTTCATCCCAGAGACTAAGGAAGGATGATCATATATTCAACACCTTCTTGAACTATACAGATCAAGTTCAAGGATATTGTTGTCCATTTTTTGAGACTTTGTCTCAAAAGCTAAAGAGGCGTGGCTCAGTGGCAGAACAATTATCTAGCATGACCAAGGATCTAGGCTCTATCCCCAGTACCTCATATATTTGTCAAGCTATATATATATATATACACACAGTGGTCTCAGCCAAGGGCTGGCGATGTAGCGCATGAAAGAGTAGTTTCCTGTCATGTTCAAGGTTCTGGGCTCCATCTTCAGCACTTTAGAACAAATGACCAACTTCAAGGTGATACAAAAGCATCAAATCAAGTTTAGAGCTCTATGGTAAACTAGGTTCAGGGCCTATGAAGGCAACCTTTGTTGGTTGAAAGCTTGAGAAGTACATTGATTGGAAAAAAAAAAAAGCTAGGTGATGGTTGTGCACACTTTTAATCCACACACTCAAGAAGCAGAGGCAGGTTGAGCTCTGTGAGTTCAAGGCCAGCCTTGGTCTATAGGGGGAGTTCCAGGATAGCCAGGGCTACACAGAGAAACCCCGTCTCAAAAAACAAACAATAAAGAAAAAAAAAAACCTCAACAACAAAAAGAATCTGTTGCTGGTGGTGGTGGTGCACACCTTAATCCCAGCACTCGGGAGGCAGAGATAGACAGATCTTTGTGAGTTTGAGGCCAGCCTGGTCTATAAGAGCTAGTTCCAGGAGAGGCTCCAAAGCTACAGAGAAACCCTGTCTCGAAAAACCAAAAAAAAACAACAACAACAACAACAAAAAAAGGATCTGTTTGAGCATATTTGTCTAGACAGGGTCACACTACTATATGGACCAGGCTTTGATCTCTGAAAAGTACAGCTTTGATTCCTTGAGCCTCCAGACCCTCATAGTGTGTCCTTGTCCCTCTTCTGTTGCCTCTGCCTAGTGAGGCTTCTCAGGCCAATAACTCTTGTCTTCTATTTGCTCTCCAGCTGCTGATGCACGGAGTCCCCTGAGTCCCTGTCAACCTCACTGCTGACCAGCCTATCTACCTGTGCTGCACCTTCCTGTGGGCCCCCCTGCTTCTGTGGGACCCTGTGACGTGGGTTCAGTCCAGCCAGAGAAGAAACCCCTCTCATGTTGCAGACCCCAGAGGGTGAGAGAAAAGGGACCTTATTCAGCCTTGAAACCCATGGGCTCAGCCCCAAAGGAGCCATTCCAAACCTTCCTGTAATCAAGGCCCGCTTGTTACACGTGTCCTGTTGCCGCTGCAATTTTTATCTGCCAAACTGTACAGATAAAGTAACTATTGATTTTTCCCTTTCCAAATTAACAGACGTCTTTGGGTGTACAATAAAATAAATGTTCAATGATTCCTATGATGTCGTCAACAACCAGTCAGGGATCCTGATGAGCATGCAAAGAAAACCTTCCAATCAGTCTTTGTGGTCTTACTGTGGGTGAGGGTTTCTTGTGGGTTTTGTAACATACTAAAAACAACATGAGCATCATCAGTCTGATCTCAGGCGGCCCCTAGGTGTGTACCAGGACCAGACTGGGAAGTACCTGGCCTTTGAGGCTTGTGCCAGGTGTGCTCTGGGAGGGAGTAGAGGGCAATACAGATCTGAAGAAGCTGGTTTCTTCAGTGTTTAACGTGGGGCTTCTGAAGGACTGAACCCCCTTCAGTTACACTGGTTTTCTTAGTGACAGACTACTACCAGAGTCCATGCTTCCTCCCCACTGGTCCACTGACTTTACCGTCTTCCCAAGAGGAGAAGGCACTGGTCATTGTAGGGCGACTTCTCAAAGGCAGACCCTCTTGTTGGCCACTCTGTGCTCTGTAAATGTTCGCAGGATTAGTAGAGCTCCTTTTGGATACAGGTAGTATCCTCAGCTCTGGAGAGCGATGCCCTGGACCCAGTCTGAGGAAACAGTCCCCCTGTAGGTCTAGCCATCTAAGCTCTCTGATGCACTTTAAAAAAAAAAAAAATTATGTGTACAGCATTCCTTCCATGTATGCCTGCAAGCCAGAAGGGGGCACCAGGTCTCATAGATGGCTGTGAGCCACCATGTGGTTGCTGAGAATTGAACTCAGGACCTCTGGAAGAGCAGTTAGTGCAGTGCTCTTAACCACTCAGCTGTCTTCCCAGCCCCTCTGATGCACTTTCAGTGACGCTGTGGAAGAGCTGTGTCCACCAAATCTGTGTGGGGGAGGGAGGAGGCGGGGCGGAGAGAGCCTCCCTGGAGGCTGGGAGCCCAAGGGCAAGCCAGACCATTAAGGGGAAGGATTTGGCTAGGTGGGCACCCTATCTTACAGTTGAGGGACAGAAACTTCAGTCTCACTGCTCCTGTGGCACTAGTTGGCTGGCTGTCCAGGACAAGACTGTAGATAAGTCACCAGAGCGAGCCCTAGGCTGTAATTAGTGAGTAGGATGGACATGACACTCTTGGTCCTCTGTGACAGGTCCCGCGCGGCTGCTGAGATGGCCAATGAGAATCACGGCAGCCCCCGGGAGGAAGCATCCCTCCTAAGTCACTCTCCAGGCACCTCCAATCAGAGCCAGCCCTGTTCTCCAAAGCCAGTGCGCCTGATACAGGACCTCCCAGGTACTGGAGGGAGTGGTATGGGCTAGTAGGATAGCGGAGTGCTGTGCGCAGCCCTGACTGTCTGGGTCATACTCTTGTTTGCAGAGGAGCTGGTACATGCAGGCTGGGAGAAGTGCTGGAGCCGGAGGGAGAGCCGCCCCTACTACTTCAACCGATTCACGAACCAGTCCCTGTGGGAGATGCCTGTGCTGGGCCAGCACGATGTGCTTGTGAGTGCCGACTTGGGTCAAGGGTCAGAGCAGACCTCTGGCCTTCCACAAATGTATCTCAGACAACTAGGTGTCTAGCCCTGTGCTGATACCTGCAGATAAAATGTCAAGGAAGACAGTTCCTGTCTTCAAAAACCTTGCAATCAAACAGGAGAGATGGGGGCAGATTATTAGTGTAGCATGCCAAACATTGGGCAGCATGCGAAGAGGTAGGCGTCAGCAAGACAGAGTTCCCTGTCTTTGCGGTATGTTCATTCCGTGGCAGAGAGTAGGATTCCAGTTGTGGACTTATTTAAAGAATATACTGAAATCCATAGGGATTGAACTCCTCTGAGAATCAGGGTTTAAGGTGAAGCTAGCTAAGTGGGAGGGGAAGGATGTTCTAAGAGTATAACCACAGGCTGTCTGGTAGGAACCTCAGCTCTTGGAGCCCTCTATACATAGTCAGGCAGGGGCCTCTTCATTTTGTAGGAGAGGACACTGAGGTTCAAAGGGAAGTGACTGGCCCAAGGCCATGCAGAGCCTTGCTTGTCTGAAAAATAACATTCCCTGACTTTTCTTGGTTCTTGATTTCCATTTTGTTCTTAAGGCACTAATCTAATGCCACACAGTGTAGCAAGCCACTCACTGATTTGTGTCACAATGTCAGTGGTGAAGTGGGGTTAACATAGCCTTTCTGAAGGTGAGGGCATTAGGAAGGAGTCACCCCTGGCCACAGCTGCAGGTAGCAGGCAGGAGTGGAGTCCAAGGTTCTTCATCTGCATTCCAGGCCTTTGGCTTCCGTAAGGAGCCAGAGAAGGGTGGGAAAACAAGAATTTGAACTGTTGGGGCTCCTAAGCCACTGGCTGTTTGCAATTCCGCTGTTTTCTCTCTGCCAGTCGGACCCTTTGGGGCTGAATGCAACCCCCCTGCCCCAAGACTCAAGCTTGGTGGAAACTCCCCCAGTGGAGAACAAGCCCAGAAAGCGGCAGCTCTCGGAGGAGCAGCCAAGTGGCAATGGTGTAAAGAAACCCAAGGTGAGTGTCTGGGATTCCTAGGACCTGGTCGGTACGTGGTTATTTTGGGTGTGTGGCCAGAAGCTCCCTGCAAGGGCAAGGGCTGGGTCAGGAGGGAGTCCTAAGTACAGCTGCTGGGCCTGGTTGCAGACTTTGGACTTGAAGCCTTCTGGTTTCTTTTCCTTCAGATTGAAATACCTATGACACCTACAAGCCAGTCGGTGCCCAGTTCCCCCAGCATCCCAGGAACCCCAACACTAAAGATTTGGGGTGCATCTACTGAAGATAAACAGCAAGCAGCTCTCCTCCGACCCACTGAGTGAGTACCTATTGGTTGGCTTGGATATGTACATTGCTGATGGGCAGCTTGCCCAGGACTGTGTGGTATGGTAGTAGTGGGCAGGCCATCTTCACTACTCCTGTCTGTGCCCTAGGGTGTACTGGGACCTGGACATCCAGACCAATGCTGTCATCAAGCACAGGGGCCCTTCAGAGGTCCTGCCCCCACACCCTGAGGTCGAGCTGCTCCGCTCTCAGCTCATCCTGAAGCTACGCCAGCACTACCGGGAGCTGTGCCAGCAGCGGGAGGGTGAGGGCTCTGCAGCCTCCCCTTGGCTTCAACTTGGGTTTGGGTGGCAAGGGGGCCTAGTGGTTCTGTATGCTATAGGAAAAGATTTGTTGGGGTCCCAGCTCTGATGCTGAGTGTGTTTCTCAACTTGTCTGCAGTTCCCATAGCTGTAAGTTGGGGACAAAATTCTTAGAGAAAGCATGTGTGGCGCCCATACCTCCCAGCTCTCAAGAGGCTCAGGCAGGATTTCAAATTCCAGGCTAGTCTGGGCTGTATTACCAGACCCTGTCTTTGGTATTCTGATTCTCAGAATAGAGTCTAGGAAATGAAGTCTAGGAAGTAAGCACATGACAAACTCTTATGACTGTGTCTTTTCCTGTCTCAGTGGACCCCGCTGGACCCTCCAGGTTCTTAGCAGCTTTCTTGTCCCACAGGCATTGAGCCACCCCGAGAATCTTTCAATCGTTGGATGCTGGAGCGCAAAGTTGTAGACAAAGGATCTGACCCCCTGTTGCCAAGCAACTGTGAACCAGTTGTGTCACCTTCCATGTTTCGTGAAATTATGAATGACATTCCCATCAGGTATAATGCCACAGCTCAGCTGGTTGGTCTTTGTGCCAGGTCACATGTAGGAGGGCCCTAATTCTTGCCTATTTTCTAACTCAGGTTATCCCGAATCAAGTTCCGGGAGGAAGCCAAACGGCTGCTCTTTAAATATGCAGAGGCTGCCAGGCGGCTCATTGAGTCCAGGTTTGGCTTTCACTACCCAGCACAATCAAAATGGGGTGGGGGGGGGGCAATACGTCTGGCTAATGCTCACAGGCTTGTCAATGCTGCCAAAGACAGATGGGTGGTAAGCCTAGAGGCTAGTACCTAAGATGGTAGCAAAGTAGGAAGAGGAGGAGAGGAGCAGACACCTAACAGTTGGGCCCTGCACAAAATACAGACTTTCTCTTGCCACCAACCTGCAGGAGTGCATCCCCTGACAGCAGGAAGGTGGTCAAGTGGAATGTGGAAGATACCTTCAGCTGGCTTCGGAAGGACCACTCAGCCTCCAAAGAGGACTACATGGTGAGAGGGCCCCAGGGTGAGGCTGGCCTCCACAGCAGCCTGTGTGCAGTGTGGCAGACCTTGATGCTCATCAGACCCAGGATCATTTCAGAGATGCTCAAGGCCCCTAGCTTTCTCTCAAGCTCAGAGGCAAACAGCTGTCTTTTCAACCTGATGAGTGTTCAACATGTCACCTCAGTAGATCTGTGAGAACAGTCTGTCTTTTCTTGTGTGTATCCATATTACAATTAAAAGCCACTTTTAGGGGGTTGGAGAGATGGCTCAACAGTTAAGAGCATTGGCTGCTCTTCCAATGGATTGAGGTCCAATTCCAGCACCTACATGGGGCTGTACCTATAACTTTCATTATAAAGGATCTGATGCCCTCTTGTGGCTTCTGTGAGCATTAGGCATGCATTTGGTATACAGAAGTAACTGATGGTAAAACGCTTATATGTGTACACATAAATATTAAAAAACAGCCAGTCACTATTGGAGTCAATTCCTACTCTTAGGGTATACACAGCCCTTCCATTCTCTGGCCCCTGCCTGTCACTTTTCTAACTCCATCAGCATTTGTACTGGGTACTCTTTTCAGGACCGTTTTCAGACTTGTTTACAATCACAACATTAAGTGTACTTGACATGTGGTGACAAAGACAGGTACACTCCCGGCCAGAGTGACTTGTTCTCACAATGCAGTTTCACAGGTATAATTCTTTTAACAAGAATTTAAAGGCACAACCCTAAGTCCACACCAATCCAGTTTCCTGTGCTGTAGCAGCCCTCCCAATGGAAGGCGAATGCTGGTGGTCCTGCCTGGCTTGCCCTCTCTCCCCACTGATTATCTTGGGTTCTGCCAACGTTAACTGCAACAAAACTGCAGCCATTCATTAGATGCTTACATGACAGGGGCTTGGTGGATCAGGGAATGGCACTGACTTGTCACAATGTCCTATTTGCTAGCTTCAATTCCCTTGATAGGAACAAGATTCAGAGAAGTTCAAGCAACATGGCTAGTAAACAGTAGAGCCACTTTCAAAACTGGGACATCTGGGATCCAATAGCCCCACAAGAGTTCTACCTGCCAGCCCCAACGAGGCCCTTTTGCCACCAGTGTCCTGACCAGGGCTTTTCTCCAGGACCGCCTGGAGCATCTGCGGAGGCAGTGTGGGCCCCATGTCTCTGCTGCAGCCAAGGACTCTGTGGAAGGCATCTGTAGCAAGATCTACCACATCTCCCTGGAGTATGTTAAACGGATCCGAGAGAAGCACCTTGCCATCCTCAAGGAAAACAACATCCCAGGTAGGGCCCAGATGGGGAGCCGGCTGTAATGCCATCTAGTCTGTCCTAGGCCCTGCTTGAAGAACATGTGAGGCTGTGTGAGGCTGTGCTGATTTGGGAGAACCTATTTCTTGGAGTAATGTTGGGTAGAATTTGCTGTCTTTTGGCTCTGGGGTGTTAGTACTCCCCTGGGAAATTAATCAATGAGAAAGGAAGAGCCAGAAGTTGATGAAAAATGGGCTGGTTAGTTAAGCAGACCTGGGTCAAATCCATTCCTTAAACCTTTGCTTTCCCCAGACCCAAGTGTAATAATACCTGCCGTGACAATGTGAGTGTTGAGAGGAAGGAAGGAAGGAAAAAAACCTGCACAGGTCTCAAAGATCCCTATATGAGTAAACTTAACTATCCAGACAAAGGCCACTGTTTTCATACCTCCAATTTGTCTGGCAGGCTGAGGGCATTGGGAATCTGCTTCAGTGCTGGGTGTGTTGATACAGGTCACCAGTTAATGCCAGTTGCCTGGAGGCTTTTTTAATGGCTTTGTTTCCTTTGTGATGGAAACCGTTTCAATTTCCTGACCCATGTAAGCACTAGCACAATGGATGTGAGCCCCGTCTAGAGCTGAACAGCCCCTCACTGTCCTTCCTGCCCACAGAGGAGGTGGAGGCCTCAGAGTTGGAACCCCGCCTGGTGTACTGCTACCCAATTCGTCTGGCTGTGTCTGCACCCCCCATGCCTAGTGTGGAGATGCACATGGAGAATAGTGTGGTCTGCATCCGGTATAAGGGAGAGATGGTCAAGGTCAGCCGCAGCTACTTCAGCAAACTGGTGAGAGCTGGAAAGGCTTTCCTACTTCCTTGACCATACTCCTCAGCAGCTCCCAGTGATGAGGCCATGAGATCCCTGCTGAATCCCTTCCTTTCTGTCACACAGTGGCTCCTGTATCGCTATAGCTGTGTTGATGACTCTGCCTTTGAGAGGTTCCTGCCTCGAGTCTGGTGTCTTCTCCGTCGATACCAGGTACAGATCTAGGGCCGGGGAGGGCTCCCTTGGAAAGGAGCAGGGGGACGAGCCTCACACTGACTAAGGCTAATCTGTAGATGATGTTTGGCGTGGGCCTCTATGAGGGGACTGGCCTGCAGGGATCACTGCCTGTACATGTCTTCGAGGCCCTCCACCGACTCTTTGGCGTCAGTTTCGAGTGCTTCGCCTCACCCCTCAACTGCTACTTCCGTCAGTACTGTTCTGCCTTCCCGGACACAGATGGCTACTTTGGCTCCCGCGGGTGAGATCCAGGGGTTGCTGGGCTCCTTCTGCCCATAAAGATGTCCGCTAGCACACAGGTCCCATCCAAGCCAGTTGCTTCTTAATGCTTAGGGCTTTGGAATCAGGCAATCTTGAAGATAGCTTGTTCTCAGTATTTCCTGTGTGTGTACACTATCTACTGTGTGACCTCTGACATGCTGAAACAGCTCTGGAGCTTCCACTTTTCTGGCTTCATGGGCAGACATTAAACAGACACTACCTAAGGCTGGCCTGTGGACTTTTCTGTGAACTGGCTTAGGTTTATTTATTTTTTATTTTTTTAAATATTTATTTATTATGCATACAATATTCTGTCTGTGTATATGTCTGCAGGCCAGAAGAGGGCACCAGACCTCATTACAGATGGTTGTGAGCCACCATGTGGTTGCCGGAAATTGAACTCAGGATCTTTGGAAGAGCAGGCAATGCTCTTAACCACTGAGCCATCTCTCCAGCCCTGGCTTAGGTTTAGATTAGGGACCCTGGCACTGAGGGATGAGAAGATTAAGACAGACCTCAAAAGTATCAGGGTGAGGAGCACAGGATATCCAGGTAAACGGTAGGAAGAAAGTGTTCAACGGAAGGTGAGAGCCTTGTGCTCATGAGCTGGGGAAGCCCTGGGTGTGGCTTCTGCTGGGGTGGCCCTGAACTCCATTTCTTCAACTTAGTGGATACAGGCTCACACACCTAGCCTCTGTAACCTATTTGAGGGACATGGTCACTTCTTTGCCCTAGCACAATTAGGGTGAATATTGGCCTCTGGCCTGACTGTGGTCATCTCTTCATTGTGGCTGTCTGGAGTTGGGGGCAGTATGTGTGAGGGACGATGCCGGTAGACTACAATGCTCACCTTCTGTAGGCCCTGCCTGGACTTCGCCCCGCTGAGTGGTTCCTTTGAGGCCAACCCTCCGTTCTGCGAGGAGCTCATGGATGCTATGGTCTCTCACTTTGAGGTAGGTGTGCTGCCAACTGACGAGGCAGGCAAAATTGCCAACTGCCCTCCAGGGAAGAACCTCATCTCCACCCCATACTCTCCCTCCCACAGAAACTGCTGGAGAGCTCACCAGAGCCCTTGTCCTTCATTGTGTTCATCCCTGAGTGGCGGGATCCCCCCACACCAGCGCTCACCCGAATGGAGCAGAGCCGCTTCAAACGCCACCAGCTGATCTTGCCTGCCTTTGAGCACGAGTACCGCAGTGGCTCCCAGCACATCTGCAAGAAGTAGGTGCCCGGGCAGCAGGGGAAGGAAGGCAGGTCAGGCTGGCAGGCTTGAGCAGGCCAGTCTGTGCCCTCTCCTGAACAGCTGCCTTTGCCCACAGGGAGGAAATGCACTACAAGGCTGTCCACAACACGGCCGTGCTCTTCCTGCAGAACGACCCCGGCTTTGCCAAATGGGAGCCGACGCCAGAGCGGCTGCAGGAGCTCACCACTGCCTACAAGCAGTCGGGTCGCAGCCATGGCTCCAGCTCTTCCTCATCATCCTCCTCAGAGGCCAAGGACCGGGACTCGGGCCGGGAGCAGGGCCCTAGTCGAGAGTCTCACCCCACTTAACATATCCTGCGGGGAGGAGGAGCCCCAGGGGTGCTGTTATAGACTGCTGGAACTCAGTCCTCAGAGCTGAGCAGGCCCCAGGGCACTCCCTTGGGGTGGCAGCAGGACTTGGGCTGCCAGGGACATAGGAATATTATGGCTCTGCCAGGGTTCCCCCTCCCTGCTCACTCCCCCAGATTCACCAAATCCCTTGTAAATAGGCCCATGCCTTCCCAGCCCCACACTGACCCTGTTGCTGCCTTGTTTCATTTGTAAAAGGAAATACAGAAACTTCCCCAAGAGTGTGTGAGGGTCTTGGGGCAGTTGCCTCTGTGACCACTCCCTACCACATCTAGGCGTCCCTTTATTAAGATCCCTAGATTTTCATACTCATCCCCGGGTCCTTGCAGGTCTGAGTCCCTAGAGGCTTCTGAGCGCCTATACCAGACTAACAGGCTGCTAAATGCTTTACAGTCAAGGCCCAAGAGGAAGTATATAGCCTCATAGGTATAGTACCTGCCCTTTCAGGTCCTGGAGACAGGGAGCCCATGGAGAAAGCACGGTTCTCTTTAGCTCAGTCATCGCCTGGGGTCAGGCTGGTTGGGCCTGTACTGGACCACTGGAACAGGTGGGTCAGCTGACTGTGGAGTCAGCCTCCACTTGAGACTTCTGCCTGCTTTCCTGGCCCCTTACCTGGTTCAGGTTATTAGCATGTATACAAAGAGAGCTACAAGGGCTGGACTCTGGTCCCTTTATTGAGACTGAGGAGCCAGTGGGTCCATCCAAACAAAAATAAATTTCTCTCCCAAAGCCTGCCAGCAGGCTGAAGCACCCAGCATGTCCTGGCTGGGGCCCATGGCTGCCCCCCCCCTCCCCCCAAGAGCACAGGTCTGGCTCCTTTGGAGTCAAGGGATACTGATTGTCCAGTATCTGGAGGCCCTAAGTAGGACAGGAAAGTCCCCCGTCTCCAGGAGAGCTGGCCCCGATATCCAAGATCAGCGTTGGGCTTTTGAGGCTCAATCATCCGTGATGGTAATGACGTCATACTCGATGCCCTGGTGTTGCAGCTGTTGGATGTGTTCAGGCACTGCCTCCTCAGTGCCAAACAGGCCCTGGACTTGGGCCATGGCAGCATCAGCCACTGCTGCCAGAGGAGGGAAAAACACAGTAAGCCTGAGGCTCCAGAAGCTGGGTCTGGCCTCAGCCTCCTGGCTGTCAGTGTTCAGCCCCATCTATACCTGTAACAGCAGAATGTGCTGCAGCCTCAAGCTGAGCCTGGGTGACAAGCTGCTGGCCTGGGGACACAGGTACATACTGGATCTGGAGAAAGAAGCCAGTAAGAATACAGTCCCCCAGGTGCCTCACTACCCCAGCTCTGCCTGGTCCTCCAAGTAACATACCTGGGATTCCTGCAGGAATGGGGTACCTTGCTCATACTGGATGTGTGTGATCTGGCCCTCCTGGACCTGGGGATGGGAAGCTGGCCAGTGATCTAGAAAGAGGCTGTGTGGCCTTCCTCCAAACCCCACCTTGCCCCAGACCTGGCCTACCTGGATATGATGGCCATCAGGGACCACAACATACTCCTGAGGCAGTAGGTGCTGGACGCCGTCCTGAGAGATGATATACTGAACCTAAGAAAGAGGACAAGGCAGGTTCTAGGGCTCCACTCAATGAGAACTGAGGTAAGTGGGCAGAGTAGAAGACACAACTGTGGACACTGGCCCAGGTAGTCTGGAAACTTGTGTTCTAAGGTGGGCCTAGGCGGGCAAGGAAGACAGGAGTTTACCTGGTTGTCAGAGGTGACCAGGTGCTGTACTGTCTGGCCATCTGCCGTGGTGATTTCCTGGATGTAGGCAGCTTCCTCCTGTTAAGACCAAGCCCAACTTAGCCACAGTTCTTTTATTTATTCACGTGTTCTGTGTTGTGTTTTTTGGTGTGTATGTTGTGTCTCCACCCGCCTGGAAGCCAGATGGTCAGACAGGGTGTCAAGCATTGTTCTTCACCTTTTTTTCCCTGCCTGTTCTGTTGAGGCAGGGTCTCTCCATGAACCTGGAGTTCTTGGCTGGAAGCCACACAAACCCCAGAGGTCTCTTGTCTCTACCCTACTTGGAGCTGGGCTTCTAGGAGTGCAAGAGCTGGCCAGACTTGTAACATGGTGGGAGCTGGGATCTAAACTCTGCTCCTAATGATGGTGCAAGGCTTCTAACCCTAACTCTGAGCCACCTCTCAGTTCTGTCTGTCCCATCCTCTCTGCAGGGGCTCCAGACTTTGCTTACCTGATTGGTCACTGTCTGTTCCTGGGCCACAAAGATGTGTTCCTGGCTCAGTGCCTGCTGTAGCCGCTCTGGACCTAGGACACCATGACTGGACTGGATGGCAGCTGGGCAGAGAGGAGTGGCTCATTAGGGGGTTCAGGGAAAACTTGAATGCCTCATCCCTGGGGTTCCCTTGCGCTGTGGTTCTAGCCTTTGGACCAGAGGCCCACCCCTGTGGCCCAGGGTAGCTCACTGTGCAGTGTGGTCAGTGCTTCCTCTTCACTGTTGAGGATGATGGTCTGGGCTGGGGCTCGGGCTGTAGCACCCCCAGTCTTTCTCCCTTCACTGCTATGTAGCCTCTGGATATGGAATTTGAGGTGCCCATTCCGGTTGAAACTGAGGAGGGAAGAACAGGTATAAAGTGGCTCTACCTTGTGTGCATGGAAGTCCCTCCCCCCTTCCCTACTCCTGGCCACCCCAAGCCTCACCGCTGCCCACAGAGGTGGCATGAGAAAGGCTTCTCATTGGTGTGCGTTAGCATGTGCCGCCTCAGATCCTTCTTGTTCTTGGAGGCGAAGCTACATTGATTGCACTGGTGAGGCCTTAGGCTTGAATGCTGTGCCATGTGAGCCTACACAAGGTAGAGACCAGGTACCAGTGGGTGGGAATGGGAGGTAACAAGTCTCCACAAAAACTAAATGCACGTTAGTGAGGAGCCGGACCAAAAGGACGGACCTTACTGAGACTAGTCTACCATAGACATAAAGCGAGAAGCCAGAGGCTGTGCCATTATACCACTTGGGTAATTTCTGTCTCAGTTTGTGACTCTGTATCATACTTACTGAAGAAGGACTCCCTGCACGCTAGGGCTCAGTCCTGCCTAACTGGGCATTACCTTTCCCATTGGAGGGTGAGGCTATAGGCCCTGGCCTCTTAAAGAGCTCAGAGGATGCAGCACGGGGTTGGATCTGAAAACCCTCCAGCAAGTGGAAAGAGTTCATGAAATTTATCAGAAACTATTCTGTTTTCATGCCATCCCGCATTGGCCTCGAACATCTGCTCTCCCACCATCCTCTAGCATCCTCAGTCTCCAGTCATGCCACCCTCTCTGTGCCTATGCTCCACTGCCTGGCTCCATTGCCACCTCTGTGGTCTTTCTGGCATCCTATCCAATGCCTTGCCGCCCCTGCTCTACACTCTGTATCCTTCACACTGGGAACACAGTCTGGCATTAGTCACTTTTTATCTGGTTGGTGTCCTGGACCAGGCAGCTCCCAGACCTGAGATCTGCTGAGTCACCTCTGACCCTAGAGGGGCACAGAGGACTATGCTTGAGGAGATGCTCTCTAAAGAGTTCTTATACAAATGAGTGACCGCAGCAATGAAGGCAGAGGCATGATGGGGGCACACCTACCCGGACCTCAGGCCACTGGCGAGCACTGAAGGGGCAGTCAGGGCACTTGAAGGCAGCAGGCCCAGCATGGGCCCGCTTGTGACTCTCCATCTCTGCTCGGCCAGCAAAGGCCTCTGAGCACACCTTGCAAGAGAACTTCTTTGCTGACAAAGCTGCTGCGGATGATGGGGAGGTGGGTACTACCAGGCCTAGGGTGCTGCTGGCTGCAGGGGATGGGGTGGAAGAGCCCTGGGGGCCTCCCGCATGATGAGTCTTCATTGGAGACAGAACCTCAGGACCATCTCTGGGTGGCCCTCCACACTGCAGCAGGGGCCACTTTGCTCCAGAGGCCAGAGTATCTGGACTTGGGAAGGAGATGGAGCCATCTGCAGTCAACTGTAGAAAAACGCACAGCATGAGGTGCTAAGGAGGGGCAGAGGCAGGACACTGGGTGGGGTGGCCACTCCCTAGACTCACCTCGATGTGGTGCAACTGGGTTCCATCAGCTGCCATGATATAGTGGGTGCCAGCCTCCTTGAGATTCTCACTCACAACCACAGCCTGGGCTGTCTCCCCAGGAGGTTCTTCGCTAAGGGCACAGAGTGGAAGTATGAGGTGGGATTTCCAGAAAAGGGTGGAAGGCTATAAGAATCCCTTCTCCAAGCAACAGTTAAGCTGAAGGAGCCTGAGTGAATGTAAGGCGTCGCTCAACCATTTCCACCCAGGCCCCCGCTGTCTCTTCCATAAATGATAACCAAGAGCTCAGGGTTTCACCCTACTCAAGGGGTGGCCTCCATGTCCCTTGGTAGGGAGAAGACAGCACTCCAGGTGTCCAGCTCAGAGCTGGCCAAACGGGACAGGAAGAGGCCAGGCAACAGGAGGAAACAGAATGGATCTGGTAGTCAAGCAGGCAGGGCAGAGGCTGAGGCAGCCTACCCAGAAGCTGGCTTAGAGCTTCTGACCCTCATTATAGCACAGGACCAGAGCTCCTCAGATGGCCTAAAAGTTCAGTGGGCAGAGACATGCTTGTCACGAATTTGCACCAGAGGGAAGCAGGTCAACAAGTGACCCCACATTTGTTCAAACACTAAAGACAGAGGAGCTCATGGGGATGGAGAGCTGGAGAGATGGTGCAGCACCTAGAACACTGGTTGCTCTTGCAGAGGACCCAGGACAGGTTCCCAGCACCCACAGCCACAGGGGATCTAATGCCTTCTGGCTTCAAACTCACATTTGGGGCAGAAAAAAAGGTATATAGGGTTGAGAACCAGTGTTCCAAGCCTCACCACCTAAGCAGCTGACCTAACCTCTAGCCTGTTTCCGCATCTGTAAAAGCAGGGAATCTTGTGGGAGCTAGCTAGGCAAGACCATTAGTGCCAAGTTCCCAGAACAGCCAATGACCAAAGAATGGCAGCTTCCAAGCCTGCACAGAACACAATCTCCTGCTGCTCTGTACACACCAGGACTCTGCCTCCTGCTAACTGGGTTGGAGTAGGGAGCACGTCTTAAAGACTGAAAGGAGCCAAGTTTACCTGTAAGGAGTGCCAGGAGCTGACGTCCTCTCTTCCAGAGGGGGTGCTGTGATGACACTGTAGCTGGCCCCACCAAATGGCCCAGATGGCAAGGCAATCTGCTGTAGGTCAGGAGGG